CCATGGTAAAGCCATGTTTTTGTGCATCTACCATGGTAAAGCCATGTTTTTTGGGCATGCCCCATGGTAAAGCCATGTTTTTGTGCATCTACCATGGTAAAGCCATGTTTTTTGGGCATGCCCCATGGTAAAGCCATGTTTTTGTGAATCTACCACTGGTTAATGCCATGTTTTTTGGCCTGTACTTTGGTAATACCATGTTTTTGGGCATGCCTCATGGTAAAGCCATGTTTTTTGGCCTGTACTTTGGTAATACCATGTTTTTTGGGCATGCCCCATGCCCTATGGTAAAGCCGTGTTTTTGTGCATCTACCATGGTAATGCCATGTTTTTTGGCCTGTACTTTGGTAATACCATGTTTTTTGGGCATGCCCCTTGGTAAAACCATGTTTTTTGGGCATATACCATGGTAAAACTGCATTTCTTGAGCATGTACCTTGGTAAAACCAAATTTTTCAGGCATATACCTTGGTAAAACCATGTTTTACGTTAGTTTTGTTTGGTGTGCCTTTTGTAATATCATTTTATTTAAATATTGTAATCATTTAGTACAATGAAAAATGCATACACCATGTTCGGACATTCACTGAAAACCTATTAGGCCTAATTGATCATAAATTGGAAAACATAAAAAAATTAGTGTGGAAATGCTTGGAAATTGAAGTACCTTGGGTTTTGCCATTCGGTTGCATCACTGTATCGTGCTAACACCTTTTTTTTGTAAAGGTAATGTAACTCTACATAAAGTCGTAAAAAACAGATCGCTTCAAAGCAGCTTCTTGAAGTATCAACCCTAAAAGCGCCGGAGGAGACGAATGAGGAAAAAGCTGCCCGTGTCACTCACGTCACTGTGAAACAAACACCTTTTTCCTGCTGCTTTGAAGCTCTTGGCTCAGAGCCATAGACTGAACTATAAAAAGCAAGGCGGGAAATAATCTCACTCGCTGACGTTGCAGGTTTGCCGCCATGTGGATCCAGGTGCGCACTATGGATGGCAAGGAGACCCATCGGGTAGACTCCCTGTCCAAGCTCACCAAGGTGGACGAGCTACGTGTGAAGATTGCCGAGCTCTTCAATGTCGAAGCTGAGAGGCAGCGACTCTTTTACAGAGGCAAACAGGTGACGTGGCGTTCATAAGCGGGTTTATTTCTGTAAAGTGGACGGGGATTGGTTTTATCTGTTAGAAATTGGTTGGGTAGCAAAAAATGAAGCATTATTTTGTGTATTGTTGTTTTAAAGGATAAGTTCACTTCCAGAATAAAAATTTCCTGATTGTTTGCTCACCCTCATGTCATCCAAGATGTTCATGTCTTTCTTTCTTCAGTTGCCAAGAACTTGTTTATTTTATTTTTTTTGAGGAAAACATTTCAGGATTTTTGTCTATATAGTGGACTTCAATGGTGGCCAACGATTCAATGCAGCTTCAAAGGGCTCTGCACGATCCCAGACGAGGAATAAGGGTCTTGTATAGCGAAACGATCTGTCATTTTCTGAAAATAATAAATTATCCACTTTTTAACCACAAATGCTCGGCTTGCTCTGCGATGTGCGTCTTCATGCATTACGCAGTCCAGTTGGAAAGGTTACGCATGGTTCGTTCTTCGTCTTTGTACTTCGGTTAAAAACTCCTAATTTTCTCCCCCAACTTTAAAATCATCTGACATCGTTGTTTTACCTTTTTAGTAAAGGACAATGACTTCTTTCACATGTTCGCTTTGTAAACTGGGTCGGTACTAGGGCTGTCAAAATGGATGAAAAACTAAATTTGAATTTTGTACTTAAATATTATCAAAATTCAAATTTAAAATGCATAATTTCAGTTATGGTGAAGAATAGCTTTTGGCTTCTCTTCTGAGGCCACAAGAGGCCGCATCAAGCAAAATATTACTAATGCACAGTTATTCAAAGCATAAGATAACGACTATCTGTGAAAAAAAAAATGTGCATAATGTTTATAAACCAATTATAATTAAGTTGCTTCAACAACTACAAACAAAACGGCATCATGTATGTATGCATAGTTTAATACAAAGGGCGGAAAGCCAATCACACAGTACATTTTTCATTTAAAAACATGAGTTGTAGTGGGATGGGGAAAAACCCGCCATAAAGTCTTGATAAATGTTTTTTTCAAAGTTAAACTTGTATTAATTTTACATGGCTTTCTAAACATGCGGCTCCTTTGTGCGAGATGCGAGTGCAACGGTGATAGATGTCCCTGTAGAATGGCTTGGTTTCAGTTTTGATGTAAACAAGATCTTCTCTGCATTGATGTTCTCTTTTTCCGCAATATTTGTAATGAACAACGTAGCAGCGCCGCATCTAGTGGCTTCAACTGGATAGGTTAACAAAAACATTATAATACAACCACACTTACATCGTCATCGCATCTCGTGCACCACTGATAAGGCTGCCTCCTTAACGCACACCTAAAATTCAAATGTGGAATGTGGATTTTTATTTTAAATTTGACGAAAATTGGAAAAAAAATTGACAGCCCTAGTCTGTACTTCCGACTACCTTTCCAATATCACCTAATAAAGATGCAGAGCTAATGCTGAAAAATCCTGGAATGTTTTCCTCCAAAAAAACATAATTTCTTGGCGACTGAAGAAAGAACGGCATGAACATCTTGTATGATATGGGGGTGAGTAAATTATCAGGAAATGTTTTATTCTGGAAGTGAACTAATAACCCTTTAATGTTAAATGTCTTGTTTGGGCATCATAGATGGAAGACGGCCACACAATCTTCGACTATAATGTTGGGTTAAACGACATCGTGCAACTTCTGGTGCGTCAGAAGCTCACGTCGGCGCCACTGCCGAAGGACAAAGAGGCCGAGCTGTCCGACTCTGACTCCGGCTGCGGATCGGCCCAGAGCGAGTCCGATAAGAGCTCCACGCATGGTGAGAGCGACGGCCAAGGCGCCGGGACCTCGGGCCAGACTGACACGCCGGATCTCATCGACCCTGGCTTTGGCTTTTACAAGGTGAGAAACTGCGATAAAACCTTATTAAAAGCTCATGAAATCGTTCTTGCGTAAATTGTCATGACAAATCAAATTTAAAAATGGTCAATTCCACTATAAATGTCTCGTTGGCCTCAAGTTTGTCTCTTGTATATTGAAATTATTAATAAAGCAATAAGCCCCAAGAAGCCGTGGTTTACAGTGAATTTATAACCGATAAGGGGCGTTGTTTGGCACGACGTGAATTGCTTTTATAAAACGGTTATTCCATATACGTAGTAAGGTTTCACAAAATAAAACAGAGCAAATAAAGTGTAATGATATTAATAAAAACAGTATTCTTCCACCAAGCAATGTAGTTCCTCAAACAGTTGTGGTAAACAAAGGTGTATGTTTGTAGAGTAATTTACAACAGCTTCGAACGTGGCTCAGCCAATCAGAATCAAGGACCGGAACTCTCCGTTTTATAATTCTTTAAACATAGTTATTCAAATAATTATATTTTTTGTTACACCAGTCTCTTGAATCTCTCTAAATTGTCGAATTTGCGTAAATTGGTAAAGCATTCGTAAAACTATTCTTTTGCAAGAACTAATATGCTGTGTTTGGAAAATCACTTTATAAGTTGTCGCATTCAGTTACCAGAGCAAATTTGCGTTAATTGCTTATGAAACTATTCTTGTGCAAATTGTTGCATATTATAAATTGTGTTGATTCCACTATAAACGTCATGTTGGTGGGGTTTTTCTTTTTTGACGTTTTGCTGGCTACGTTTGTCTCTTGTATTTTTACATAATCTACAAACGTAATAAATTTAATAGTAAAAAATGTTTTGTTTGTGATCAATAAATGTATTCAATATTTATACAAGTCAAAAAATTACGTTTAGATCCCAGTGTAACAAAAAACACTGTATAATGAACAAAATTCAATATTGATATTGAAGTTCATATTTCAATTTTCAAGTTTTTATTATACAGTTAACAGGTTTTGTTGTTATATTTACAATTATATAGTACATTTAGCAGACGCTTTTATCCAAAGTGATTTTCAAAAGAGAAACGAAAGCAATTTTTCAGTATTTAAATTTATTAAAGAGATTTTATAAAATATATAGTGTTTGTTAGGCTCTAAAATAATTTTGAAATTGTCAAATTTGTGTAAAAATTGTCATTTCATTTGCATCATATCGATTCCACTACAAATGTCTTGTTTGGTTTTTATTTTTTTCCTATCTGATAGTAAATGTATTTAAAAAAATTTTTTACTAAGATCAATGAGTTTGTGGATGCTCGAGTCTTGAACATGGGTGCCTGGTTTGAGGCGCAGATAGGTTGGGATTACAAAGATTTGTATTTTAAAGAAAATCAGTTCGAAGGGAGCATAATTTACTTTTTGGGTTTTAAAAATGTCTTAATATGAGAATTTCATACAAGAGTATGACAATTAGATTAGACTGAGCAGAAATTGAAATCTACACGCTAATACACACTATACTCATAGTCCCCAATGCTGATGTTGTTAACATTAATCATTTGAGAATAAAGTATAACAATAAAAATAATTTGAACGGTTTGATGTGATATGAGCTAATCAATCTTTAGATTAAATCACCATTGGTAGCGAGATTTATGGTAATCCTCAATTGGTCAGAACAAACGTGGCAGACTTGTTACTTGTTTAGATGACAGCATACAGTGAAAATGCTTATTTTGGTCATATATTCCAAGACGTAAGCTAGAATCTGTGATTGTGAAGTACAGTAATTATCCACACCGGTGCGGTGACTGACTGCCACACATACTCTTCAGAACATTAGATTAATCCACGCTGGAGCCGTGCCGACTCACAACCCACGCAATGAAGATAATTCAGCACACAGCTGCAATTCCAGGTTTTCAAACAGAGATGGCGACAAAGAGGCAAAACTTACGAACTGCAGCTTTAACGATACTCCGTATTAATCCTCGTGCCTTCGTTTTCATGTGTGCTCAACAACAAATACAGTTTGACATCCAAATCTTAAAACATTCAATGAGTCATGAACAATTCCAAAGATTCATGAATTATCATTTTGAGTCAAAGTCAACAACTGATTCACTTTCTGAATCGCAAGTAATTTTCAGTCAGATGTTCTTATGACCCAATTATAAGGCTGAATTGACTTGGAAGACAGACTTCGGAAAATATAATGTTGAATGTGTTATTCACCTTACAGTTTTACTCGCACAGGCTCAAATCTACAAAATATAGATCCCCCCCCTCCTCCAAATTCAAACCGATTTCAGCATGAACACCTGGATTCATCGCGAGTGCCTCATGCACCTGTTAACATCTCCCAGTTTGTCTTTCCTTTCATCTGTGTCTTAAACCGTTTATCAAAGGCGGTCTGTTTAAACATCCCGTGCTGTTGAATGCTAATGTTGCGAGTGTGTGCTCTGTGCAGTTACCCTGAGAATGGCGTGGTGCAGCTGTGTGGAAAAGACATCCGACCGCGGGCGCGCACCGTCTACCAGTGGCATCAGCTGGACCAGGGCATGATCGTGATGGTGAACTTCAACCCGGACGAGCCCAAGGAGCGCGGCTACTGGTATGACGCCGAGATCCAGAGGAAGAGAGAAACACGCACCCAGCGCGAGGTTTATGGCAAGATCCTGCTCGGGTAGGATGATGTTTTAGTCTTTAAAGGGATAGTTCACCCAGAAATGAAATTCTGTCGTTAATTACTCACCCTCATGTCGTTCCAAACCAAGGCCTGTTCACACAAAGGACGATAAAGATATAGTTCTAAAAATCGTTCTCAATATTAAAGAATAGCAGAGTCCACACCACAACTATAACGATGAAGGCACAGAGAAACAATATCACTGGAATCACTATCAGAATGATTTTTTCCAGCTGATGAACAATACAAACATTGACAGCCAATCCAACAGAATCCATCTTGCTATAAGGAGCTCGAGAATTTAAAGCGGCAGACGAGCGTGCACTTAAAATAAACATGATATCGTTCGCTGGTGTGGACGTTAATATCTTTATAGTTATCGTTCTTGGAGTGAACGGGGCTTAAGACCTCCGGAACAGAAATTAAGATATTTTTGATGAATTCTGAGAGCTCTCTGACCCTCCCATAGAAAGCAAGCATACTTACATGATCAAGGCTCAGAAACCTAGCAAGGACATCGTTAAAATAATCCATGTGACATCAGGGGTTCAACCGTAACTTTGCGCACAAAAAATATTCTCGTAGCTTCATAAAGAAAACAAAAATAACGACTTGATTCAACAATTCGTCTCCTCCGCGTCACTCTATAGCATAATTTTGGAAAATATCACATACGTATGTACGCGGATAAGTTCAGATCAAAGCGTAAACAGCGTATCCGCATATGGTGCTGCTGACACCGAACAGCATTCGCTGTTTGCATTTAGTGGATATTCTCCAAAATAACGCCAGGATGACACGGAGGACACAAATTGTTGAATCAAGTCATTATTTTTGTTTTCTTTGCACACAAAAAATATTCTCGTAGCTTTGTAAAGTTACGGTTGAACCCCTCATGGATTATTTTAACGATGTCCTTACTACGTTTCTGAGCCTTGATCGTGTACGTATGTTTACTGTCTATGGGAGGGTCAGAGCTCTCGGAATGAAATAAAAATGTCTTAATTTGTGTTCTGAAGATGAACGGGGGTCTTACGGGTTTGGAACGACATGAGGGTGAGTAATTAATGACAATAGTTCACCCAAAAAATTTATATTCTCTCATTTATCCATCCTTTCACTTGTTCCAAATGAGTTTCGTCCTTCTGTTGAACACAAATAAGATATTTTGAAGAATGTTGGTAACCCAACTGTTGACGGTAGCCACTGACTTCCATAATATGGAAAAAAAAAATACTATAAAAGTCAAAGGCTACCGTCAACTCTTTGGTTACCAACATTCTTCAAAATATCTTTTGCACGTCATTAAGCCAAGCTTTTAGCCAAACCATGTAGAAAAAAATGTTCTTGCGCAAGAGCAAATACACAAATGTTCGATGAGCAAATCTGATTAAAAATTGTCGATTCCACTTGCAAACCATTTTCTTTTATTGGTCTAATAAGAGTTTCTCATTTTGAATTATTTATGAACTTAAGGTTTTTAATGGCATAGTTCAGCGGTGGCGAACTCCGGTCCTGGAGAGCCGCAGCCCTGCAGAGTTCAGCTCCAACCCTAATTAAAACTCACCTGCCTGTAGCTTTCTAGTAACCCTTCAGACCTTGATTAGCTTGTTCAGGTGTGTTTGATTAGGGTTGAAGCAAAACTCTGCAGGGCTGCGGCTCTCCAGGACTGACGTTCGCCACCCCTGGCATAGTTAATTATGAACTTTATAATAAAGCTTTAATGTACAATTAAAATGTGTTTAAAAAGATTTTGAACAATATAGTATGGTGTCTACGGACACCTTGGCAATTGAGTCACCATTGGCTAGTACATTTATTTTTTTATTTTTTTATTAGTAGTTATATTAGTTTGTAAAATGGCACAGCTTTTTAAATATATGAAAGTACACTCTTAACATCAATCAGTCAAGCATTATAATATGATAATCAAGTATTAATAATAGAAGTTTAGTAATTAGAATTAAAACTTTGTAACCATGTATGAATGCAAATTAGTCATTTTAACTGAATTTAGGACTGGTGCTTTTTTGGTCATTTAGTGTTTTTGTAAAAATTAGCAAAAAACACACTAATTCTGATAAGATAATAATAATTATAATAATAATATTATTATTATACCATTTCTACTAAGAACAATATAAAACGCACCAAGTATTAATGAGCTGCTGGATTCATGAATATTAATCGGGTTGTGTGCGTTCGCTCGAACGGATTTGCTGAAATCAAAACTGGAACGATAATAGGTGAGCGCCAGCCAATGAGATTGTGTTTCCGCACTAGTCCCGCCCACTAGCGGAGAAACCGGCCGTTCTTAAAAGCTGCAGAATTCCAAAGGAACTCCGTTATTTTGACAGGAAAGTACAACAAAGAATATCGTTTGCATGTAGCACATCAATTCTGCATGTTATGCAAGACTCTCTCACTTTGCACAAGTGAGAGAAAGTGACGGCGAGTAGTGCACCTTCACACTAGATTTTACGGTACGCCAAATACACAAACACCGGTGCATCCATTGAGATGAAATGAAAGATATCACAGATCGCTTGACGGAGAGTGAAACTCTGAAGCGCTCAGTCAGAGAGTGTTCGGTGAGTGAAAATATATCTGTGCTAAACTTATACTCTGCCTCCAACTCACACACTGGCGAGTAAAATCTGAGAATTTATTAGCCATTGGCTAATATTAGACATTTTGTCGCCCAGAGTGAAGATTTAGTCACATATGCGAGAGATTTACTCGCAGTGTAGAGGGTTGGGTTTAGGCTTTAAAATAATTTGAAAATTATCAAATTTGTTTAACCCTTTTAACTGTCACCCGTCCCCTCTGTGGGACGCCTAAGTTTACTTCACTATATTACAATTAAATCCTAATCTAATCATGACAAACTATATATCGTTGGAAAGGTCTAAGACTCCTAAATAGATATTTTATCAAAGCTTTTGTTAAAAATTATGTAGGAAAAGTAATGGATACATTTTTGACAAGAGTGCACCTCAAAAATCTACATAACAGGAGTTCTGACCTTTGTCAAAAAAAGTAGTCTTCGTTGCCTTTTTCTCTATCACACTTTAGAAATCATCAGACATTATATATCAATTGAAAACTTTAAATCTCAAAATTAATTCTTTGAAACCCATTTTAAAATCAAACATTGCATTACCATGAAAATGGTACATCAATATCATGTTACAAAATGTTTTTGTTCATGAATTATAAAAATTTAAGTTTGGATCGTGCACTTTCACGTCTGTTCAAAAATGTGAGTGACTGTTAAGGGGTTAGGAATGTTTACCCAAACCACTTTCTATGCAAGGCTTTCAGTTAGCAGAGTAAGTTTGCATTAATTTCTCATGAAAAATGCCTTGCTTTCATTTTTTATTTTTTTTTCTGTTGGTTTGCTCAAGTTTGTTATCTGCAAACTTAATGGTTTTAATTTAATTGGATCATTTTATTATACAATTAAAATCACATTTAAAAATATTTAAAACAATTATAGCATTTTACACAACTCTTAAATTCATTGGTAAATTGAATTTGGGTAAATCCTCCGTGAAGTGTTTGTAAAACAATTCTTGAATTCCATTTTCTTTCTGTTGGTTTGTCTGTTTAAATGATGCATCTACAAATGTAAGCATTCTATAGAATTAAAATAGATTTTGATGTAAGTTTTGTTTGTGTAATATTTAAGTATATTGCAAATTTGTTACATTTAAGCTTTACAATCATTTGTAAATATGTAAATCACTCGAAGTATTCGCAAAATAATTTTTATGTAAGAACGAATATGTAAAATGTTTGTAAAGCCCCTTTTTATGAAAGTTGTTACCTTCAGCAGGAAAAATTAGCTCTAATTCCTCGTGAAACCAGTGTGAAAATTAGATGTTTAAAATTGCATTGGTTCTGCTGGTCATTTCCTTTGTTTCGCTCACAATGTTTGTCCACACTTTCTACAGAGACGCTGGCGATTCTCTCAACGACTGCCGCATCATGTTTGTAACCGAAATCTACAAGATCGAGGAGCCAGGAAGTTCGGAGGGTCCAGGAGCCTCTTCTGACAGCCCTCTCAAGAGTGAGTCTGACTTCTTAGTATCGTATCGAACCTACAATTCGGTTTTGCGGTATTCTTTCTCGATATAAGCGCAAACTATAAGGTTCCTTGTTTCTGTCACTTCAGGGTCGAACGGACCTGAGTGCAAGGTCTGCAAAGATGACCCGAAGAAGAACTGCCGCATGTGCAACTGTCACGCTTGCGGTGTGAAGCAGGATCCCGACAAACAGCTGCTGTGCGACGAATGCGACATGGCGTTTCACACCTACTGCCTGAACCCGCCGCTCACCACCATCCCTGAGGACGAGGACTGGTAAACGAGTTTATCTGATACTTCCATCCAAAGCAACAATAAATCAACTCTTGAGTGATTTGAACCAACAAACTTCTAGCGACATCAAAAAAACTTGTTAGCTTTAGCTATTTTTGTGTGTTCACAATGTTTGTCTCTTAAAGGGATAGTTCACTCAAAAATTCTGTCATTAATTGCTCACCCTCATGTTGTTCCAAACCGATAAGACCTTTGTTCATCTTCGGAACACAAATTAAGATATTTTTGATGCATCCCGGGAGCTCTCTGACCCTCAAGAGAAAAAAAAAAATGACGCGGAGGAGACAAATTGTTGAATAAAGTTTATTTTTTGTGCGGAAAAAAAGAGAAAATTCTCGTAGCTTCGTAAAATTATGGTTGAACCCCTGATGTCACATGGATTATTTTACCGATGTCCTTGCAAAGTTTCTGAGCCTTGAACGTGTAAGGACGCTTGCTGTCTATGGGAGGGTCAGAGAGCTCTCGGAATTCATCAAAAATATTGTTTTTGAAAAATGTCAACAAATTTGTGTTGCGGAGGTCTAGCGAGTTTGGAACGACATAAGGGTGAGTAATTAATGACAGCATTTTAATTTTTGGGTGAACTAAGGCCCTGTCCACACCAACGCAGGTTTTTTCAAAACCGCAGCTTTTTCTACGCGGTTTGGCCGTTTGTCCACACGCAAACGCAGCACCAGGTCACTGAAACCGGACATTTTTGAAAACTGCTGCCAGGGTGAAGATTTTCAAAAACTCCGGTTGCAGTGTTATCGTGTAGACAGCGAAACCGGAGTTTTTGGCTTGTGACGTCGGCGCCTGCGCTGTTATCTCCGCCTACTGGAAACTTTTTCAGGCTTCTGATTGGCCAACATGGCTTTACGGTTGAGATTATATCGCCACCTGTTGGTTTGGCATGCTCTTGACAGTGCTTCATAGCATGCTTTTGCATTTTTCATGTGGATGGAGGTTTTTTTTAAAAAACGAAAGAAGAAAAAACTCAGTTTATAAAAAATACCTGTGTACGTGTGGACATGGCCTAACCCTTTAAGTTTCTTTACCTACTTGAAAGTTTTAAGTGTAATGAAGAAACACTTCGTAGTTATCGAACATTGATCATACAGTTTAAGATGTTTAAAACCGTCACATAGATTTGTTACACTAAACTCCAATATCATTTGCAAGTTGTTGAATGTGTAAATCACTGGTGATTGTAAAATCATTTTTGTGACTAGGACTGGTAAACAAGGTTTTCGCCACTAATTACTCATAATTTATCGAAAGCATTCCTCCAAAGTAGCAACAAATTTGAACCAACAACCTTTTAGTGACATAAAAAATGCTTAGCTTTTAGATTTAGCTTCTTTTGTTTTCGTGCTCTGTTTATCTTAAGCTACAAACTTAAGTATTTCAATTGTATAATGATGAAAGTTCACTCTAGTCCACTTTGAATGTAAAGCTTTGTTTACAATGTTTAAAAATAAAGCTCTTGATTACATATATTTTTTGTTACGCTAGGCTCTAAAATCAATTGTAAATTGTACAGTGTTTGTAAAACCATTCGTTCTCACAACGAGGTCTAGTAAAGGAGTTCTCCGTCACTAATTACTTATCATTTATCTAATATGTTCCTCCAAAGCAACAACAAATAAACTCTTGAGGAATCTGAACCAACAACCTTTTGGTGACGTCAAAACTTGTTGGCTTTAGATCTGTTTTGTGCTCATGGAAGTTTCTCTTAAATTGATCTACAAACAAATATTTCAATTGTATAATGAAGGAAGTTAGTCATAGTTCATTTTTCATACAATTTTATTTATACAGCATTTAAATATGAAAGATTTTAAAAACCACAAAGCTTGTAACAATGTAATATAATTTGTAAATTGTTGAATTTGTGTAAACCGCTCGGCAGCTGTTCGTAAAACCATTCTTGCGACAGACTGCTAAATTTGTTCTCGTCACTAATTACTTGCTTAATACGTTCATCCAAAGAAACAAATTGATTCTTGAGGGATTTGAACCAACAACCTTCTGACAACATCAAATAAACTTGCCAGCTTTAGCTGTTTTTGCTCTCATGAAAGTTGTCGCTTAAATTGATCTATGAACCTAAATACTTCAATTGTATTTTGAAGAACGTTTCAGTATCATACGGTTTTGTTCATGGGATTTGAACCAACAACCTTTGGCAAGAACGAATATTTAAAATGTTTATTAAACTACATTATATGAGTTTAGTGAAACAAATTTCTATGAATTACTCGTGAAACCTTTGCTTAAATTGTCTGCGCAAATCAAGTAAAACAATTGTCGTTTCCACTCTAAATGTCTTTTTTGCAGGTATTGTCCTGAATGCCGTAATGACGCCAGCGAGGTGGTTCTGGCCGGAGAGAAGCTGAAGGAAAGCAAGAAGAAGGCCAAGATGGCGTCGGCGAGCTCATCCAGTCAGAGAGATTGGGGGAAGGTGCGTTTCAGACGGGCAAAATCGCAGACACGGGTGTGGGATTGGTTCAGATGAAGTGTTTATGAGCCTGGTGTCTCGTTTGGCAGGGTATGGCGTGTGTCGGCCGCACTAAACAGTGCACCATCGTTCCTTCCAACCATCACGGCCCTGTTCCTGGAGTCCCAGTGGGAACGCTGTGGAAGTTCAGAGTGCAGGTGGGAATATACAATCTGCTTGAGTTTATTTTATTTTAGTAGGCCTCTTAAATGGTCACAAAACTTAATCATTAAAACTAATAAAAATACTAGTTTTGTTTTAAAGCCTTCTATAATCATGGAAACCCTAAAATAGGATTATTTATATTATTTATACAATTATACTATTTTAAAAAGTTAAATTATAGCTTCTGTTATTAGTATTTGTTTAATTTTGTTTTAAATAAATTAATTTTTTTAATGGTTTCCATTTATTAGTTTAATAATGTAATAAAACTAGTAAATAACACTACATTTTCTTTTAGTCCCATCTTGTTTAAATTACGTATTTTAGTTTTTTTTTTTTATACAAACGTCATAATTAAATTTTAGCTTTTATTATACCATTAATGTTGTTTATAAGGATGTTTAAAACGATTATTGAATAAATTGTATAATGAACAAGCTGATTACAATTTACTTAATGATAAACTTAGTTATTAAAGTGTAATTATATGCTAAACTTCATTTTATAATATTTATGGATATTTTAAATTATTTTCATATGTTTAAAACAAAAGGTGTTTTTACCCTTTTTTTTTTTTTTCCAAAATAATTCATTAGTTAAAAATATTTCTAAAATGGAAAAAGTCCAGTAATCATGTGAAGATGCTCATCTTGGGGCTCTTGTTGTATTTCTGACGCTCAGGTGAGTGAATCCGGCATTCACAGGCCTCACGTCGCTGGGATTCACGGCAGGAGTAACGACGGCGCTTATTCTCTGGTTCTCGCCGGGGGCTACGAAGATGACGTGGTACGTTTGTGATTCTCGTCCAAAGCTGTCCTTCAAGAACTCTTTCCCTTCCTCCGTTCACCTGTGCCTCGCTCTTTATTCAGGATGACGGTAATGAGTTCACCTACACGGGATCTGGGGGTCGTGACCTCTCGGGAAACAAGAGGACGGCCGAGCAGTCCTGCGATCAGAAGCTCACCAATATGAACAGGTCAGAGAACCGTCGCATTATTAAACATTTCCTGGGTTAGCTATTTGGAGTTGCATTTATTTGCGTTGCGCTTCATGCAGTATGGAAGATTTCAATGTTGCGATGATGAAATTGCATCAAACGTGGACAGACCGTGGAAGAAATGTGCGAGTTCTCTTGTTTTTATTGTTGGTTTGTGATTTGTAGGGCTCTTGCTCTGAACTGCAATGCGGCGGTGAACGAGAAGGAAGGCGCCGAGGCCAAAGACTGGAAGGCTGGGAAACCTGTGAGAGTCGTGCGCAGCTCCAAAGGACGCAAACACAGCAAGTACAGTCCCGAAGACGGCAACCGCTACGACGGCATTTACAAGGTGAGCGATTTGTCGTTTTCAACATTTACATCCGTTTTAGACCTTTTTATACATCTTATTTATTCATAAATGTTCTCAGTGAATGCATGTGATGGACCTTGAAATTTTAACATACTTTTTTTAATTATACTTTCAATATGTATTGTTGCTTTTTTTGTTATTTTTATTAGGTTATTAGTTTTTATATGCATTTGTTATTCAATAATTATAATTAATGGTAATTTATTAATACAAATTTAAGTATTTTAACTTTTGATACATATATATATACATATATATATACATATACATATACATATACATATATATATATATTATACAGTTTCAAGTGCACTGTTTATATTTTAATTATACTTTTACGTGTTTTTTATTTTGATTATGCTTTCATGTTTTAGTAGTTATTTTGATTTACGTATTTAAAATTGTTATACTGCATTTCAATTTACTTATAATTAAAATGTAAAAAAAAAAAAAAAACATTTTATGTATGTATTTTTTTTATTATTATACTTTTATACACACTTTAGTTATTCAAGTATTTTAATTATTTATTTTATTTATTCGTTCCTAGGAACATTTATTCATTTACTTCAATAATTATAATTTATTTTTCTTTATTTTTATTTTATTTAGTAATTATTTCCATTCCTTCCTTCCCAGGCTTGTAGGCCTAGTTATTTATTTATTTATTTATTTTTAGTGCTGTCAAATGATTAATCGCGATTAAACACATCCAAAATAAAAGTTTGTTTACGTAATATGTGTGTGCTGTGTATATTTATTATGTGTATATATAGACACAGTATATATTTTGAAAATATTTACATGTGTATATATTTATATTAATATAATTTATATTATATATAAATATATTTAATAAACATTACATATTTTTCTTAAATGTATACATGCATGTGCTTGTATTTATATATACATTATAAATATACACTATACACGTATTATGTAAACACACTTTTATTTTGGATGCGTTTAATCGTGATTAGTTGTTTGACAGGACAAATTTTTTTCAATACTTTATTGAAAACTTTCTTTGATACATTTTTATTTGAATTATACTTATTTTATGCAGTTGCATGTGGGCAGTAATTACTCGTCGTGTTTATTAGGTGGTGAAGTATTGGCCAGAAAAGGGCAAGTCCGGCTTCCTCGTTTGGAGATACTTGCTGAAACGTAACGACGATGAACCTGCGCCGTGGACCCGTGATGGGAAAGAGCGCATTAAGAAACTGGGGCTCACCATGCAGGTAACGTCTGCCAGATTTCACTCAAGTTTCGCCTGTTTAGTTTGCGAATCGCTCATGAATCCTCATTCTCTGGTGCTTCAGTATCCTGAAGGTTATCTGGAAGCAGTAGCTGCGAAAGAAAAGGAGAAAGAGAACAAAAACGAAGATGATGACGACGTTGAAGAAACGCCCACCAAGGGCAAGAGGAAGAGGAAATCCCAGACCGGTAAGTGAAAACGTCCTGATTCAATAAAGACTGTAATCAAGTCTGTAATGTCATCGCTTTTCTCCATCTCAGTGGACGAGAAGAGCTCTCCGGCCAAAAGCACGCCTAAGAAGATGAAAGTGGAGGCATACAAACTGAGCAAAGAGCAGAAGGCCTTGATCAAGGACGACGAGCTCAACAAGAAGCTGTGGGACGAAGCCATGGAGTCTCTCAACCTTGGACCTGTACGTTCAGACCAGAGACCCTTCGTTATCGTCACATCTTGTAATTAAGCCGCTCTGATGATTGCTGATTTAATGTGTTTGTCACACTTGTAGCGCTTCATCAATAAAGTGGAGGAAGTTTTCCTGTGCATCTGCTGCCAAGAAGTCGTCTATCAGCCCATCACCACAGAATGCCAACACAACGTCTGCAGGGTAAGAGACAAAACCACAGACAAACTTGGGTTATATTGCAACAACGGACTTTAGAACGCTATTAAACTTTCTCGTGAATGCGAGTAAAATACTTTAAATTAAGGATTGTAATTATACATGTTCTGTTTTTTTCCCCCTAGTTATTCTTATTTGGTTATTAATTTTAAATAATTTCAATTATTTAATTTTAGTTAGTTTATTTTGTTTTAGATAACTATACTTTTTAAAAATATTTAATTTAATTTTAATCACTTTTTAATTTTGCTTTAGCAAAATTGCTATTTATATTATATATTTAAAAAATAATTTAACTAAGTTATATATTAATGTGTATTTTGGTTAGTTATTTTAATTGTACTTTTTATATATATATATATATATCAATTATACTTTATTTTGTCTGGTTTTTTGTTTGTTTTTGTAAATGTGTAAAAAAATAAAATTGTAAATATCCCTTTGGCGATTTAATAAAATGTACCCTAATCCTAACTTATTGATTATACTTGTTTTTATTATGCTTTAGTAAAATTATACTATATATTATATACTAATATACACTAGTCAACCTTTGAAGTGGATCAAAACCTTTCATCAAAGTTGTCCTAAAACCTAAAACCAAAATGCATTCTTGTCTTGGAACAACTTTTTTTTTTTAATCCGCTTCAAATGTTGACTGCTGTATTATATTTTTTCAAAAAGTTTTTAATGTATTTTGGTTAGTTATTTAAATTTTCCTTGATTTTATTCGTTTTATTGATGATATGCTTTAGTAAAATTATATTTTAGTTATTTATGTAATTTTTAAATAATGTACACTTATACATATATTTTTTTGAAAATGTATTTTATATATTTAAATTTTCTTTTTTAAATTATACCTAATTTTGTTTAATTTTATTTATCTGTTTTGTTTACATTTTTTATAGACACGTCAGTTATTTTTTTACAGTTTTAATTATCCTCATTTATATTTTATATAATTTTTTTAATTTAATTTTTATTTGAATTATACTTCCATTATTTTATTTTATTTACTTTATTCTAGAGGTCTGCTCTTTTATAACTCCCGCAAGGTTATATTCCGCACCCTCCCGCTATATATTAACTCTTTGTTCACCCGCTGTATGCTTGGAGTAGTTTTCTTCCCGACCCGACCGTTCCCGCTAAATTTAGATCTCGTTTCCAGAATCTCACGTTTAAATTTCCGCTACTGAAAGAAAGAGAGAGAGGCTAACATATAAAAGTGTAGTCTGCACAAAATTGCATGTTATTTTATTCGTCTTGTCAAGAGTCTTGAATTTATTGACTTTGACTTGAATTGGTATAAATTATAGTAAGACACAAAATTAGTTTAATATTTTATGCAACACGGTAGGAAAAAAAGTGTCAGAAAATAAAAATGTTGTACAAAAATTTTATTTCTTGTATTCGTCTTGTCATGATACAATTCATTTAACATTTACAACACAATAGGAAAATGTGTCGCAGAGAGAAAATTTAATTGGTATAAATTATAGTAAGACACAAAATTAGTTTAATATTTTATGCAACACGGTAGGAAAAAAAGTGTCAGAAAATAAAAATGTTGTACAAAAAATATTTATTGTATTCGTCTTGTCATGATACAATTCGTTTAACATTTACAACACAATAGGAAAATGTGTCGCAGAGAGAAAATTAGCTATTTTTATTCGTCTTGTCAAAATACTAAATTCGTTTGACATTTTTCTGTTAACACGGTAGGAAAAGTGTCGCAGAGAAAAATAAATACGACATCTTTCATTTAAAATTATAGGCTAAGCAAAATCTAAACAAAACAGAGTTGAACGTCCTTTAAGGACAGCGCATCCACACTTTGCTCCATCCTTATTCTGCTCCGTCACTCATCCGACAACCTGCCTGTTCTGTCTGAGGGCCGTATATTTACCACCGGTACAGCCTGCTCGGAGTATCGTTATGCTCATGCATAGACCCCGCAAATAAAATGCGTGACGTTAAAGCATGCGTGCATAACAGTCCTGAGCGCAAGCTGAACAAAGCTGGTCAAGAAGAATAAATCGCAGATATGCAGTTCTGAATGGACGTCGGGAACGGGATATTGTTAGACCGCCCGCTCCCATTCACCAGAATTACACGAGTTACCGACCGCTACCGCGTTTTTATTCGGGAATTTAATCCCGCAGCGCAAAAAAATCTGGTCAGTTCCCGTGGGAGAGCCGCAGGAATGCAGACCTCTACTTTATTCATCCCTCCTGCCAATGTACAGTATTTCGTTTAATAGAAATATTTCTATTAAATTGTGAAAATTGACTTGAATTTCTTTTTTTTTTTTTTTTTCTTTTTTTTTTTTTTTTTTTTTTTTAGTAGCAAAAAAAAATGAC